AAATTGGAAGAAGTCCCGTAGAAGCCACCAAGACAGTAAGATGGCTCAAGACCTAGATTCTGGGTCTTTAACTTACATCTCCTACCTCCAAAGAATTGGCCCATTTTACTGAGCATCTTTATAGGCTGGTTCCCTTTACCCTCTGGTTGAAGCTGCACCACCAAGAATGCAAGATCCATTTAAGCCAACAGAAAGCAAGAACAAATAGAAAGAAAGAGGCTTGATTTGTTACAAAGTTAGTGCATTTTGAAGGAGACAGACCTGGATTTTTGTCCCCAGTACCAAGCCAGTTTATGGGTTTTTCAGAGCAAATAATACATGTTATTAAGTGTAATTTAATGAAAAGTAGATGTAATCCAAGGAGAAAGGACAGCCAGGTCTTGCTCTTATGAGTACTCTAATTCCAAGGCTTTATGCAAAAGATTGGCACACTCAGGAATATTCTGAAAGAAAGCAACCTTTCCTGGGAAGCTGGACTCAATACTGTCCATATGGGCTAAGCATTCTCTGTTAGGTGAGCAGTACATGTCACCCGAGGACCTAGGTGAAGAGTATGTGACTCTGGGCCAGGCCTCTGATTGACAGCAGAGCTTAGAAGTCTATCTCTTCCCACTGGGAAGCATCTATGCACATGTAGACGAATCTAATTCTAGGGAATTTTGCAGTTCCCACTACACCAAATATTAATTTCACAGATAGAAGGTGAACGTTCTCGATCACTTCCACAGTCTTGGTACTTAAACTCTGCTAAGGTCTGTTTCGTAGATGTAAAAGTAGGTGTTTAAACACACACACAAAAAGGAAAAGTTCATTCTTAAACCTCTATTTAGCAGCAGCCTGATTTTTCAAAGTACTGAACCACATTTCCACAGCCTGTTATGAGAAAACTCTGTATTCTCTATGGGGAAAATGTCAAATACTGTAATAATGTCAACCTTTTAAATGACATCTCTGTAATACTTCCCCAGTTCATGAATTAATTTCTCGAAAGGCTTAGGCAGGCTGTTTAATTTGGAGAAGACTTGAAACCTGGAAGTTTAAAAGACTGTATTAATCTTCATTAATAGGCCTAAGAAATTTCTGCAATTGTCTCCAGCCAAACTGAAAATACTGAAAACAGCTTTTGTGGTACTGTGATCCTACCAATTTGGGAAGACTTAGAAGATTCAGTGAATGCTTGTAAAACAACAGAAGAAAAATCCTGTAACTCTTAGCATGATCCATTCCTAGTATCTTGCCTCTCCTCAATTTCTCATTCACACAGTTTTCAAAGTTTTGCTTCCAGAATAGTTTCAAACTTGCTCTGTTTTTATCAGCTCAGTCTTCTCAGCCCTAATTACCTCAAACAGCCACCCACTGAATGTATGCTACTTTTGCAAATAATGACTCCTTACAGTCACAAGAAAATGCAACAATGTTGTCTGGAATAATGAGATACATTGTGACAAAACAGGAAAGGAGTTATGATTTTATGTACATTTAACCTATCTTCAGGATTACAATTAAAAATGCTAGCAATATTTATTAAGAAACGACTACTGACAAAGCAGTCTGAGGGGGAAAAGGAAATGCTGTATACAATTACAGTAATATCTATCAATATTGAATTGCCATTCTGTTTTAAGAAAAAATGAAAGCAAGAACAAAGGACAAAGGATGCGAAAACATATTTAGCAAATTTTGAAATTCAGTGTTGCTTTTGCATATTTTTGTTATCTCCTGAAGATCTTTTACTCAGATATGCTACAGCTACAGGGTACTGGATCGGTCATAACATACACAAACATTGTCCTGAAAAATTGTAATACTGATATACAGCTCAGTTCACAGAAGAGCACAAACACATAGTATTTACACAACAAATACTTATAACTAGAGATAACAAAGCTTCAGACTATTTAAGTTCATAATTTTACTCTAAACGAGAAAATCATATTGCAGAGGTTTGTAGTTCAGGACCCTAGAGGGCTTTGGTTACCTCTGAAAGAAGCTAGAGTGTGACTCTTTCTCCTACAGATAACAGAAGAAAATACAAAACAGAGGACTGGTCTAAACACACAGTATATGAAGGGAAAGGCAGGAATATAGCTTGGGAGTTTAGTTCACAGTATTTCACTCACCCCTAGGACATACCATGCAAAAGCTAATCAGAAAAAGATAATGCTGTATTATGTCTGACACCACTACCTTACTTCCATTCACTGGCCCAACCCAGAGCAGAATGAAAGTGTGAGAGCAGTGAGAGGGAAGGAGCTTATACCTCCTTTCCAACCCAACCTCCAAACTGTACTCTGTCTTTCATTGACATCACTTGAACAACTGTGAGAGAGAGAAATGAAATAGCTCTACATGAATCCTCTCACTTAAAGTATGCTCATGTTTATTAATTATCAATCGTAGCTGATAGATCCTTGATTACTGCCTTTCTAAAAAAGGCCTCTACCAAAACCTTTATTTTAACCCTTTTAAGGTACATAGGTTGAAACAACTTTCATAAAAACAGTTAAGAGGACTTTGTCTTACTATTTAAAAAGATGACAAATAAGAATATGTCTGTACTAACTAGAAAATGGACAGCTGGATTATCTGAAGTTTCTATTTCATCTCATTCCACAGCAGGATATACATTATTCTGATGGTAACGTAAACCTTCATCACTGTTGCTTTATTGCTGCTCTTCAGTTTACAGATGCTACTTCGGTTTTCTGCTATTACCACAAAACATAATTATAAATTATTAATTTTTATGGTTTAATAGATTAGAGAATTACAGATTAATAACATGTATCATGATATTGTAGCCAATTTCATTGGCTACATACCATATGCCAGATATTTTGAATTTGCTGTCAGTTTGTTAGCATTTTAAAATATATTAGGCACTAAGGTGTGAATTAAGAAGATGGACGTGGGTACATTATATTGTTCATATTATGAATTAACAGCTAAGCAGAACAATGAAATATTTTTAATTTCTGGTATGAGAACTGAACTGCCCAGAAAAGTGTAATCTCTATCAAATAAAACAATCCCTGACTTTATGTCACTGATTAAGATGTAACACTTGCATGAAAATGGTTGTACATAGCGAAGACACAAACGTTTTCCAATAGCTGTTCAGAAAGACAGCTGTTGGAAGACATATTTGTGTGTGTACATATATATACATTAAAATGACTTAAGGTCAAGCACCTTTTTTCTTAAAAGTGACTGAGAAACAAGAGCTAAGGAACATATTACATTGTTTGCTACCATATCAACTGCAAAGCAAGGGTGAGTCTAAGATTCTATTTTCTTGTCTTGCACAGGTAAAAACACACAGGAAAAATGCAAAGCTGAATGACCATAACAAAACAAACACAAGACCTAATACAGGATTACATAATTCTGATGCAAAATCTGTAATTCAGATGCAAAAGCTGTAGTAAAAAGTGCCTCAGTTGCCTTTATGGTTTTAGAAAAACCAATCTGCTGCATCTTAGTGCATTCAGCTTTACAAACCAAATATTAACTGTAGCCCATATGTCAGTATATGATTTTTGCAAACAAAATAAAACCATGGAATTGGTTGTTTGCAAGCAATTAGTTAATGTGTACCAACTACTCAAAGTTTAGGAACAAGCTGAACCCAAGGAGTTGAAAGAGGAGGAAGCCATTTTGGGTGTGGCACCTGCAAAGTTAACAGGTGCTTTCTGTAATGAATTTAGAAGAACAACCTCAAAGCAAAATTCTACTTCACATTCAGGGAAACAAGCGGCTGGGGGGAAAAAAGGAACTCTGAGAAGCTGTATAAAATGAGGTATATTTGATGTAATCAAATCTTAGGAACTGATCTTAAATTCTGAACAATTCTGGAATGGGTAAAAAATGTTCAAGTAACTCTGAGGGAAATCAGTTCTCACAAAGTGGACGATAATATCCACATTTAACTCATGGGTGCCACAGCCTTGTGCTATGATTGGCTGCCATCTGGGTTCCATCTGACAGCAGCAGATTGGTATTCTCTGCACACGTCCTCACAATTCCTGTCGCCTATGTTTGTTGTCCCTTACACATACACACAATACATTGTTTACTCAACTATAAACATTTCTGTAATGTACACAAGCAGCATTTACAGTGCAATCATGCACCAGCGTTCAGGATCTATCTGGTATTAGTAGCACACATCTGGTTAATATTTTTACAATTGGTTTATAACAAACATTTCTAATGTCGCAAACATTTTTTTCACCTATATATGTTAGAAAGCTCTAATTTTTGTTTGCTTTCCATTGTTCCCTGAATTATAACATGTCATTATTGTGTGCATAATCTTTTTTCTCTCATGAAGGTAACTTTCTGTTAAGCAGGATAGTTAAATAACTGCAATGGGAACTGTAAGTGTGACTGAGAACAGACCAAACCAAGCTTATGTGTTAGCACTATACAGAAATATTTTTCTCCATGAACAGCAATTTTGCAAGAAGGCTATCACCACTGGTATACAAATGAAAACTACAGGATCAACAAGGACAGCACTGTCCTTATTTAAAAGAGCAGAAGATGTTATTCCTCTCCATTTATTAAATGATTCAACATTGCGGTATGCCTGCAACTAATTAGTATGATCAACACAGTGCAGGGCAGGAACAAAAGCAGACCAGCCTCTGAGATGTGCTGATGTAAAAGCACACAGGAGTATGCATTTTTAAATGCTGTGCTATAATTTATAACCATTACATACTAATCCTTCCTTGATGGAACTTTAATTTGTAAGACTGAATTTAATGTCATTTATGATTAGGCCTGTCTCTGGATATTAAAACTGACCACCAGTTTTATTCACTTACTAGCAGTTAAATAACTTACTTTCTTTAAAACTGTCTTATACTAAACATTATAGAAAACAGAAGGTCAGTTATTGACAATTAAGAGTAATACAGATGCATGTTAAAAGAACACATAGGTACAGCAAAAGAGAGAGAGAGAGAAATATATTTGCTAAGTCATATACTTACCATTAGCACTGCAAAGTTACTGAAGTGTGTACTCTGAATGGTGGTAATATTGCCTGCAGAACTAATTATGTTGCACCCTTCTCCCCACCAGCCTCCATGTCCATCTAGAAGGTCAAAATCCCAGAAGGCTGCAATGGGGTCTACACCCCGTGCAAAGTGCCTCAAGCCTATAGTAAGAGGGCTGGTGAGGTTTCCAAAACTGCATCCATCTGCAAAAGCAACAAACTGAATCAGAGAGATCGAGTGGAAAACCCTTTATTGATGAATGCTGTGTAAAGAGATCTGATACACTGAACTATGGGGAAAAAAGCAACAGACATGTACTCCTAATGGTCAAAATCAAAAGCAGTGCTCACATTCAGAAAAGTTTGCAATAGCATAAATAAATCTGAACATTTCAGTCCCATAATGTGTCCAAATGATCTAATCATCCTTCACAAAGCAGATTTTTTTTTGTTTCAGATTCCTCAGTTATGACCAGTGCTACTGTAGCCCATGTAACTGCAGAAAAGGCTCAGTTTCACAGTATGATTAATAGCTGAAACAATTCTGCACTTTGAAAGTCACATTTAAACATTTAAAAAATGTTAACAGAAATGAGAGCACTATTCGGTATCAAATAAAATTAGTAAAATTGCCTGGGTGAATAATTAATCAAAATAATGACTCATTAGCACATAAAATATATCACATTTCGATAAAAGCATTTAACAACACCTGTTTTACATCCATTGTATCAGAAGCTATACTGGTGAGTACTGATACGTGCAACAGGGCACTACTCCCATTTCAAAAGCCTTATTTTTATCAGTGGCTAGGATATTAACATTGTGATTTTCATTGTAAAGAGTAAAACAAGGTTTTGTCCTATAGCACCGTGCTTTAAGGAGCAAGCATCTGTAACAACACTGTCAACAAACAGTAGTCCAATATTTGCATTTGAGTCATACAGCAAGTGCCTTTCTTTATTTGCAGGATAATTTGAATAAAATCATGCAGATCAGAACAATTGCAAACACTTGTACTAAAGAAAGAGACTGTTTCCAGCCTCTCAGCAGACTGTATACTCTACTCCTGTATTCACTACATAATCAAGTATACTGTAGCTTTTAGATTAAAAGAAATAATGCATAACAACTCCTCACCTATTTTAGCAAAAACAGCTGGTGTAGCAACCGTCCGACGCTTCCCATCATCTGCAAGATTTGATGAGTTTCCTGTGCTAGGAAAGAGTTTTCCATTCCGAAAGACAATAAACTGAAGCTTGCAAGTGGAGTTATCAACAGATTGCCAGGCTGAAGACCGAGAGAAGACAGACTGTGGCAAATGAACTGAAGCTACTGCTACAGCGTTCTGTACAATGAGAAAAAAAGAGAAACATTTAAAATGCAAATCACAACAGGGTTGCTTTCACGATGTTTTAAACTCCTGTACAAGAAATGTATTCTGCCTTCCTTTTCCAAGAGACTGGAAGCAACCAAAGAAGCACAAGCTGTAACCATGGGAATAGGATTGGTACAGTGCATATTAAAAGGGAAAACGTTTTGATTGAATGTGAGAGTCTATATGGTCAAGCTCCCTGCTGCAGAGGTGAGAATGGTTCTTACCGTGCCTGCTGGAGGGTCCATCAACACTGCAGATCTGATTTAAAGAGACAACCTCTACCAGGTTTTCTCCTTCACTTAAAACAGAATCAGACAACTTACATTAAAACACTTCTCTGAAACGCTACTTAAAGATTATAAAAATAATTTTATTAATACAAAAAATTACATCAGCAGAGAGTTGCAAGTGCAGTAAACAATGTATTTTGCTAATATGTTTTTCTTGATTCACATAAGAAAAATCAGTTAACTCTGTGTTTTAGTAATGCAGGATTAAAAAATATTACAAGCACTAATGTAACAGAAGAAAACAAGACAGCACCAGGAGAAAACGAATGAAGACTGTCAGATCACTATAATGGCTTTGAGTTGTGAGTGTGTTATACACCCTTTTACAAGCAGATAATTCCCTTACAGCAGAGCTATAAAATACACCAAACATTATGTTCTGAGGACTTCACTCATCAAGCATTTTTTTCCTGACAAAGTAACAAACTAATCATTAAAGACTGAGATATTTACAAGAAAAACAAATGCTGAGCAATGGGAAAAAAAGCAGGGAGTCTGTCCTGAGCCTTGAAGTGAAAAGTGTATGTATCTAAAATAAGCAAACTACAAAATGTTCTAATTTGCATTTCCCCCAAGGGCAAAGTATAGCTTCTGTGCACATAATTTACATAGATTATCACACAGTTTACTCATAGCACATGTGCGCTACCTCTTTGAGACGCAAAACAATAATTTTCACAATCATGTAAACAAACATGACATTAATGTATGTCCATGTGCTTGGAGAAATAAACCTGTGAGAGATAAAAGGTACAACAAAAATCAGTGAACTAAAACAAATATGAGAAGCATCTAGTGACCTCCCAATAAATATGGGAGAAGAGCATGAGTAGTCTGTGATGTCACTGGGATTCTTAAACAAACAGATAAAGGCTTCCGCACAATTTTCTCTTAATTACCACGTATATTATGGAAAGGTTTTGTGATTTTAACAACAAAAATGCCAAAAATGCCTTTTAAAATAACTATTCATCTAGGTGATGCCACTTGTTAAAAATACTCAGAAAAAACAGAGCAAATAGCAACACGACATTTCTACATTAGATTTCAAAATTACTATGAAGGCTTTAATTGGAATTAACTGAGCTAAACATCAAGCACTTGTCCTTAGATTGTTCCCACTGCCTAATTCACTAAAGCTGTCATAATTGGCTTTATCTCATGCTTCTGAAAAAAGCATCTTTTACTCTATGATATCACAAAGTGTCTGTATATCCTGAACCTCTGATGATACCATTTTTGCCATAAAATTGCTATCAATAAGAACGTACAGAAATTTTTAGAAGTGTCATTTGTCAAATCCCAGATCACTGTTGAGGACTTACATAGAGATGTACAGAAGTGGAAGAGAAGTTACAGTGCGATTATATTTATATTGGATGTTTATAATTTTTCTGTGCTGGAAAAAGAAACAATAATGACATATTAAATTACACTAATTACTTATTATACACAAAAAGAGAAAGCTAGAAGCATTTTATTAAGCTCATGATAATGAAACCAACAGCTAAAGGCACTGGGAAAAGCAACAACGTGCTATGACTTGACAAAAGCTGTCCTAGACAAGCCAAAGAAAACAAGAGGTTTATAGCACTTTTGCTAAGAGCGGAAATTGTCTAATTCATTGTGGTTCTCTAATTTCCTCTCTGTTGTGACTTACTGAAACCAATGGGAAAAAGTAATAGTGTAGATAGAGCTTGGCTGTGGGACAGGGGAGGTGCAGAGAATAGGCTGCACACATCTGAAGCAGAGAGAGCCGGCGAGCAGGTCTGATGACAGGTTGCAGAGCTGGGGAAAGACCAAAGTGATGTCCGCTCCTCACCTCCTTGTTATTTCCCTGTCTCTGCCCACACAGAAACCCTTCACTTCATAGCATGAAGGAAAGGAACCGGATCATGGTGCCCAAGTCTTACCCACAGACTACAGCTTCACCGCACAGGGGCAAAGTCAAACGCAGACAAGAAAAGCTGTACACAGCCTACAAAGGATTTAGTGTGGACTGACTACACTTCTCTGGCTGACTGAGGACATCTCACACATACAGCAACAGAACATCAAATTACTCACATGTCAAAAAGACACATTCACAGAAAACTATTTCCTCATTAGACTTCACGAGAGTGTTTTTCCCTATTTTTCTCCTCAAAATGTAACAAGAATATAAATACCCATAAAATTAACTATTTAATACTGCTTGATAAATAATGTCTACAGTCACTTTCTGGGATACAGTTTAATTGTGAATACTGCCCTATCTATACCTGTTATTTCAAACAATTTATTTTGAGTACAGGCAGTCTGGCAGAGCGATTGGCAAAGGGACAGGGCTGTTCCTTGACTGGACAAACATACACGTAAGTCAAAATACTCGCTGCACATCAAATATTTACTTTACATAGAAATTCCTCAAAATTAAACATTAAGCTGTCTGCTATGGCAACAGGCCTGCCTACAAGCTCCTGTGCTAGGATATTAATGAAAAATGCACACATTGAGAGTGCCCACATACCCACAATGCTGTTTAAAAATATGAAAAAATATTTGGGAACAATTTTTCTATCTAAGATATGTGAGATTCTTCTTTTCAATAGCAGTACTCATTATTCACAGGAGACGGATGATCTGTGCACTCAGGCAATCCCTGTTATTGTGGTAGCGGATGGATGGAGCCTGACCAGGAAGCTCAGTCTTGGATTCTGCTAAACTTATGTGTGGTGATGAATAAGTCAGCTCACTACTCTTGCCTCAGTTTCTCTCGCATTTGCTGAAATAAAAATTATGGTATTTCTTTTGCTTTCTAAAGTGGTCCTGAGTCCAAAGATGAAGCACAATATGGGAACAGATTATTTCTAATACCAGTGACAGTGACATCAAACTTCTTGTGAATGAGTCTGCTTCAGGTGTTTCAAAATCCATATAAATTATCTCATCTTAAAAAAATTTATTTGGACACCGTATCACCTGGTCACATAAGAACTGAAATTTCTGAGTGTGCCAGTGGCAGCACCTCAGGATGCTGCTCCACCTCTCAGAAGGGAGAAAGAGCTCTAGAGACAGAACTGCCATCAAGTGTCCTGCATGGGAGCTGCAGCTTTGCAACAACACAGGTCAGCACTGGCATCTCCTATTTTCCCTGGAAAAGCTTACAGTCCATGTCAGCAATTTACTAGACAGGATTTAGACATTCTGTGACCGTTTTCAAAACGGAATGTCAATAATATCTTCATGACTCCATTACCCTTTTAGTCCTATGAACTGGATTGTACTGGCAGTCATTAGAAAAGGGAAGTCTTGAACATACTGTAGATTCTTCTAAGGAATATTTTTCTGCTTGAAAATACCAGTGTTTTAAAATGAAAGCTATCTACAGAGATCCACCCATTTGTGCATAAAAATTATAGAAATGATGCAGATTTCAAAAGCTCCCCATTATCTTCCATGCCTTCTACCCAGATATTAAAAAATATGCTGTGTGACCTGCAGCCTTTGGGCTTACCAGAACTAAACCAGTTCTGAGGATTTCCTGGGAGGGTTCCTAGGACTCCTGGCTCCTAAGACTTCTTGGAACCTGGGAAATTTTCCAAAAAGCCAAATGAAAGGTTGTTTTAAACACTCTGAATCATAATTTGGAAAGTACAGTTTTGTAAGTCGTTTTAAGTTGCATTTTTTCAGAGCTGTTTTTTGTGTGCGTGGAATTTTTCAAAATATCTGATGAACAGAAACACTACAAGTAAATCCAACTGGATGCCAAAAGTTTTAAATTTGAATGAAAAATCTCATTCTAAAGAGGAAACGGTCCTCAGGATACTGAGACCTACAGACTCTTGACATTTTTGCAGCTCATGCATGTGTGACCCTTATTAAAAATGTTTTAAGGGAAAAATGAAAGATTTAAAGTTAAGTTTTTCCACAGGCTATTTTCTTTTGGTCAGCAGTCCATTCCTTATAATCAATGCTAGCATTTACAAGGAGTTTTTAAGTGTTTAGGAAAGATGGCCTCTTCCCTTAGGTGCTTTTGTGACATGTTGGCCCTCCTACTCTCACGATTCTTTAAAGGGACCTGCTCCCGCTTTCAACATTGCTTCTCCATTATCTTCTTCTACTTGTCTAAATTTTAGCATAATATTGAGAGACCATACTCACTATCAGACAATCACTATCAAAAAAGATACGTGGCAACCACCGTGGAATGACATAAATTATTTTCAGTAGCTCTTCTTTGCATATGCTTTGATACTAGATTGATTTTGAGTTCAAGTAGAGTATTTCTGTTTGAGATATATTTCATAGGAAAACATCCAACTTTGAGTCCTCAGAACAGTCATAAAGTGTATTTTTCTAGCCGGCAAGTTCCTTAACTTAAAAATCAGCACCTTAACAAAAGGTCAGAACAAAACCGTAGGGGAAAAAAAAAACCAAAACAAAAAAAACACCTGAATGCCTGGCAGAGAACTGGAAAGGCAGCTCCACTGCTTCCACATTTTAGAAAATATGATTAGGTGGTTTATAGATTGTATGTTTATATATATTATATTATTTAAGATACAAAGGTGTTGCCAAAATAGGCACAAGCTATATAAAGCTACAGTATCAGTTAACAAAAAGTAGAAACTAAGCTCTACAGGTAATAGCCTTCATTACTAAATATGTACTGACTGAGCTAACAGTGTGGTCATAATAATAAAACCAAACAAATAAATTATTTATACATATACAATACTTTTTCTCTAGGCCCTCAAGCAAGACAGTAGCTCCTCAGAAGCAATGGAAGATTTCAGTTTGGAGTTTATGTTAAAAGTTTTGCAGTTGACATAATAAAAAAGTGCAAAATTGTTTTTTCATTTGTCTCTCCTGGCAGATATTTAAATAACATTCCTTTGGAATTATCTCAGCACATCATATATGAGATAAGGACATTTGTTCCAGCACTGTGAGGCTTCAGGTAGAAAGTATGAGTACTGATCTCTCTTTCTGGTATGAAAGGTATCAACGAACTCCCCAAATTTTAGACTGACTGGGAAAATGCCAAATGAAGTTTCTGTAAAAAGGATGGAAACAATGCCAGTTTGAAGAAATATGGTTATACAAGACACATACTCAATGACAAACAATTTGACAAGTCCTAAGAGAGAGAGAGGATTGATTTTCTTTTTTTTTCTTTTTACATGGGAGGATACCAAGCAAGGAAAGTAGGAGATCCCCAGCCATGTTAATTTATCTACATAACTCTACTCCTGATTTGTCACAGTTTAAATACCCTTTTTAGACTGCTGTTTAAACACAAGTCTGGAAAGGCCCAGGGATGACTAGCAAGTGAAAAGCAAAATTTATATAGATTCCCAGACAGAAATGAAGAGGTACCTCCAAAAATGCGACAAAAAAAATCACCTGGCTATTGAGAAGTTAGGATTATTATGTGATGAAGTCATTGCGTAGCAATGCTGCAGTCTATATCCATCTTAGTATCTGAAAACCCAAGTACAGAGTCCAAGATATCTTTTTTCCTAGCCAGGCATAAATGCTGTTTTAATGCATACTGAAATTGTAGCATCAACAAGAAATACAGGCAAATTGTATGAAGAGGCAGAAAACCATCTTAATGTGTGTTTAAGTTCCCACTAATTAATAATAAAGTTTTTCTAGAATCATGCTATAGAAATGTGAGATTTAGCAAATAGCTAATTTAGCATGGAAATTTTAGAAAAGCTGGTAATATAAAATAATCTTGGAAAAT